AAAGGGAAATTCTTCTACTCTCTAAGGTCCACCAGAATAAACTAACAAAGACAGATTAATTAGAGAAAAGACAAATGAATTTATTATGTGCACAGAAGCAATCACATAGTGTAATAGCCACTAACTCTGCATGATTCAGGAACTTATATATCCCTTATTCTACAGAGAAAGGGGAGGATGGGGAAATACAGAAACATTTTAGAGGAATGAATGATTTTAGGTGAACCTAATGGGCTTGGATAACATAAAATGGTCCAGGACGAAGTCTGGCCCACAGAACAGATGATGGATTGTTAATGATTTTTCATGAGACTGAATTTGTCATTCTAAGGGATGACAGTGTCATAAGAGTACCCAGATGTATAAACAGATGTCAGTGTTTCTTTCTATAGAGTGTGTTTAGCCTCTGACTAATGAAATTTCAGTAAGAAGATGGAAGACGACTGTGTTTCTCTTCATGGAACTGGTCAACAGATAAGGGAACTTTATACAAAGCTTCTCCCTGCATTGACAGGGGAACTACAAGTGAAGATCACAGCATCCTTGATTCAGAGGTAGGGTCTAAAACCTCTTGGCATATTGAAGTACCAGTCCTTGGGATATCATTTTCTGAGCCCAGCATCACCTTCAGTTTCATGAGAAAAAAATAAGTGTAATCCTTGATTCCTGTTTTTCTCACACACCCCTCCAGCCTCCCAGTCAAATTCATCAGCAAATACTGATGGCTTTGCCTTGAAATATTCCCAATATGTGACTGTTTGTCACTGCTTCTACCATTACCATTTGGCGCAAGCTACCAGCATCTTGCAAGGCCTTTGGTGACCCTTCAACCCCATCCTCCATACATTTAAATGACTCTCACTTCCTCTTCCCTGCTTTATTTGTTCCCTGTGCACTTGCCACCCTTTTAAATAATGTGTATTTTAACTTTTTTTCTTGACTTGCTTCTTTCCATAACATGTAAGTTCCATGACAGCAGGGATTTTTTTGTCTGGCTTGTTCAAATATTTGTATTGCTAGTGCTATGGTTCTCATTAAATATTAGTTGGATGAGCTGATAAATCATCACAAAAACACTGTGAGACAAGTGGTAAGATCCTTACTTTAGAGATGAGGAAACCAGGACGACTCAGATATTCAAAGTGATCTGCTGAAATTCATGGAAATGGGAAATGGGTAGAATGGACTGTGGACTGAGGTTCCTTTCACTCCCAATTCTAGATTCTTAAACAGCATGTCATTCTGGATTCCAGTCCATAGGTTTTGCTGTGAACTCAATATCAGTTTAATTTTTCTTTTTTTTTTTTGGGAAGTGGTTAAATGAAGACAAAGCTTTTACTCCTATAAGCTTTGATGGTACTTTCTTTCAAAGCTGTTACCCTCCAACCCTTCAATTTAGTGTTCAGGCACTAAATCTATGTTACTGGGTCATTCTTTGTGGGCCATATTTTCTATATGTTGCCTTGGGATTTTTTAATTCTATTATATTAGCAAAATGATTCATCATTGTGAATTTGACTTGTTTGAAATCTAGAATCAGGAAACCCTAATAAGCCTTGGAGAGATGCAGAACTATATACTTTAACAAATCTATCTAGATCCTAAATATAAGCCCTGTAGTTACAGGAAAGCTTATTATACTTATTTACTCTTTTTAAACATACATTTAAAGAAATTCTTACATTCTCTCACCTATTAATTATTGAGAAGTTTCTAAGGACAGGGACCTAATTTAAGCACTCAGTGAATAAAGTCAACACATTTCCTACCCTCAAAGAGCTAACATTCTAGTGAAGGGGAGAAAGGTAATACCCAATAGTAAATTAATATACCATGTAGTGAAAAGTACTATGACAATAAATAAATTAAAGAAGGGGACTAACAAGTGACAAGTGGTACTCTTAAATAAAGGTATAAAATAAACTCTAAGATTTGGTACTTTATAATTGCTTCTGTTATTATTATTTGCCTTTGCAACTAGCACCTAGAAAATAATGGAATGTAATAAACACAAGGTGAATACTGTGTGACTATTCTGGGACTGAGTGACAGTTAAGAAAAGAGCCCAGGTAGGAGGTTATTGTAAGCAGGTGATAGCAGCTAATGGTAGCTAGACAGGGAGGAAAGAACTCCTAGTCTTTAAAGGACACAGCTGATACCACTTATTGGAAGACTGGCTACAGAGTATAGGAATGTGATAGAAGGAGCAACCAAGGATGGGGACAAACTTCCACCTGAGTAACTAGACTACAAGAAGGCATTGAGTGAGGCACAGTAGTCAGAAGTTAGGAGTTTGGTGGCCCAAATTAAGTTTTTTTTGGACCAGAGTCAAATCTCTGTCTCTCTATGTCCTCCTCTCCCTTTCTTAGTTTTCTGAGATACATAAAGCCAAGCACTGATATGTATCCAAGGAAAACTATTCAGTCATTCTGCTGGGGAAAACTTCTACCCGGGTTCTGCTGCACTCTTGGCCAGACACAGAGGCATCCTGAGTTGATGGCTGTCATATTCCTGGAATAAAAAAAGGCATAGCTAAGAAAGACTTTTTCCTTCAAATTCATCTTGGAGGGTTTATTTTGATTTAAGAAAGTGAAAGAAAATTGAAGGGAATGAAACAGGGAAAAATTATGCTTGTTGATGACAACAGCTTGAACCCATTAGCTGGTTAGTATGCATTCCTGTGCATGGCTTGTCACAGCAGTCTGGTCCCAGGAACACATCACGGTTCCTATTTAGCATGGCCTCTTTCATGCAAACCTGACCTCAAAAGGTTTAATCAAGTCTTGTAATTTGAAGCAACCCACATACACACACAGTCATCAAAATGATCAAAAATGTGGCACAAGTCTATCTGGCAAAGAGTGCTCTGGATTATAATGACAGGACAGAGGAGATAATTCAGATGTGAGAAAGGCAAAGAAACTCATGAGGTATTTTGTTTGTTTTTAAGAAGATGAAGTAGTATTCCTTTAAGATTGTAAGTGTCCGGTACCTGTATGTTTTTACTTTTATTTATTTTTTGGCAGTACTGGGGTTTGAACTCAGGGCCTCATGCTCGCCAGGCAGGCATTCTAATACCTGAGCCACTCCACCAGCCCTGTTTCTGATTGTCTTGAGCAAAAATTTCAAGCTGTGTTCCAGCAAGTTTGGGCAACAAAATCTATGGGAAAGACACAGAATGAGTTCTGCAGGATTTCATAGAATGTGGTTAATTCTCCTTTACTTTGCTCTAAATATAATCCTGTTCATTTGCATGCAACTTCCAGAATGCTTCGTGATTTCACAATTCCAAGCTAGTGGTCCCAGCATTTATGCCTTAAGAACAAAGCAAGATGTTTAGGGTGTGCCTTTGCCCAGTCTTTCTTTCTTTTTTCCTGTGTTTTGCAAGAGTACAGGGAGGTGACTTCTGCTTGGTATCTGTCCTCTTGCCAGGCTGTCACCAAAATGAAGTGGAGTTGCTGAACTTTGCTTCTTTCTGAAGACTGAGTTCAGTCCAGTTACCCATGAATGAATTAACTCAGTTGGGAGGAAGTGTTGGGGAGAGAAGGGTATTGTGCCCTTTGACTATGTGACCAGGCTGGCTTATTTCAGGTTTGTGGAATAGCCTGGCTGTTGCATTCTGTACCCTCCTTCTGTGGGTCCTTTAAATAGCCTCTCTATTGTAAGTAAGCTTTCAACCTAATGACAAGATGTCCAGAAGTGTGGTCAGATCCACCTTACAGAAATGTGAATTACAGATCCCTAACAGATTTTGTCATGTTTAGTGACAGCTGCAGAACTTCTACTTAGCAGGACTGACATTTGGAGAATGGGGGTGATAGCATACTGAAGAGGATTTTATAAATTTTGCATAGCAAGCCAATTTTTTTTTGTTGTTGTTATTTAAGTTGCATCTTTGGGATTACTTTTTAGGAGAGCAGAGGAAGCTCTGCCACCCCAACCACCATTCAGACTCCAACCCCAGGGACTTGTTCAATTTCATTTGGCCATTTAATTTTAGCCGGTAGCTAAAGGACAATATATCTTAGAGCTGAAGGGTCCTGTTTTTTTGCTACTGTAACCTCTGAGCAGCGCACCTGTTCGTGGATGAGAGGCAGCAATACTGGTAGCACTCACAAAATTCCACTACAGCTGTTTTTCTACTCACTGAGCTGCAGCATTCATCTTTCTTCACTGTGAAGAGTGAGGCAATGTAGTTTCTTTCAAAAATGCTACTTTGAGAAAATTTTTTTTTTAATGCAGGGGATGATTGAGGAGATGCCATACCCCCCTCACCTTTCTCCTAGAATAAATAATTGCTTTACATTTTCTAATATCTCTTTTCATGACCTCGGGGTACCAGGAAGCCAGCCAGGCTGCCCAGAGGGTGACCAGGTCTCTGCTCTCTAAAGGACTGCGCCTGCTGTTTACTAACCAGCAACAGCAGAGGCGGCGCCGGGTGCTGTCTCGAACAAAGGCGGTGGCGCCACAGTCAGCGCGCGGCTGGCGGAGGAGAGTGGGTTCGGGGAGGGAAGCCCGGTGCCATCGCCATTCTGAAACTTGGGTGGGGAAGGTGGGAAATCGGTGCAGGGACCGGTGGGAGGCCCGGACTTTGGAAGCCGTTGGCCCTGGAGGCCGGGAGGGTGACACTAGCGCTGCTCCACCCGGGGCTGCCGCATCCCCGCCCGTAAAGTCCCTCGCGCCCCCTGGTGGCTGTGGAGCAGGCTGACTCCGCTGCGCTAGCGAGTTCGGGCAGGAAAAAAAAAGAAAAAGAGAAGAAAAAAAGGGAAGAAAAAGAAAAAAGTGGGTGAGGCAGATGTAAAGAGGAAAATCAATAGGGATAAGAGAGAAGAGGGAGGAGTCGCAGATCAGCCATTCTTGTCTTACAGGGTCCCAGCTGGCACCACAAAAGAAAAAAAAAAAAAACCCGGGCGTGAACGCGAGTGGAGGAGGGTGTGTGTGGCGGGGGTGGGGGGGCCGGGGTGAAAGGGGGACCAGGGAGCTTTACTATTGTCTCTGGCAGCCGCCGCGGGAGCCCGGGAGGGGGGCGGAGGCGAGAGGAGGCGGCGGCCGCGGCCCGCGCACCATTCGCTCCACCTGATCTCGGGCGCTGTGCGCTGAGCCGGGCGCAGGCGAGCAGGAGCAGAAGGAGGGAGGGAGGCAGCCGCTGCAGCCACCGCCGCCACCATGTCCTACCAAGGCAAGAAGAACATCCCGCGGATCACGGTGAGTCCGCGCCCTCCTGCCCGGTTCGTGTGGCCCGCTGCGCCGCGGGCGGGGCGGCTGGGACCCGCAGGCTTCCCTGGCCGCGTCCCCGTCCCGGGGAGAGACGCGACCCGCGGTCCGGGTGGTGGAGCGCGGCGGTCAGTCCAGCCGGCGCGGCGGGCGCCACACAGACGGGGCGACCCTGGGGTTTGGGGGAAAACAAAACAAAGAGGAAACCCAAACAGTGGCGCGAAGAACTTTGGATTATTTGTCCTCCTTTTGCACCGCCGAGGACGCATGGCGCCTGGCCCTTCATGGACCCCCAACCTGCCTTGGGGAGTCGGTGTGTGATGTCGCAGGTTGAGATGTGCTTTTTGTGAAAGGATCCTTTTTGCCTGGCAGGGTGCGGAGAGAGATGACACCTTTCCCCAGGGGTACTTGGCAGCCCGACCGCGCCCCTCTCCTAGCTCCAGCCCCAAAGCTCCGACTCCCGGCGCCACGAGAGTGGTGGGGTGTCTGGACCACCATTGCTTGCCGTGTCCCCTTCTTTCCCCGCTTATGTTTTGGGGTGTCGTATTCGAGAGTGGACAGCTAACGTGGCTGCAGCAGGAATGGTCAGCTCCCCGCCCCCCACCCCACCCCACCCTGATGAATGTATTTTATATTTTTCATGTCTTTTTTCTCCTTTATCCCAAGAAAACCTGAGTTTCTAGAGCAGATTTTAGTTGGTGGTCGTGGTGCACGACCAGTGTGCATGCCTGTCCAACTGCCATTGTGTGCAAGCCCTAGCACCCGCGGCAGGCGGGTATTGGATGCTCTGGGCGTGCACCTAGTGCTGGGTGGAGGAGGAACAGGCCATTATCAGGTACCGAAGCCGCATCTTCACCGGTGTCCAGTTAGACAATCTCGTGGATAAAATACCGTGTTCCAGCCTAGGACGCCTCAGTGATGTGCTGACATGATGCCGGGGAATCAGACATGTGGCAGGCTGAGAGAGACATTAAAACAAAAAACAAAAGCCACTGACATTTGTGAGTTTAGCAGGAAGCAGTCTGGTTGCACTTTGTCTATAGTGAATAAGATGGTGTGTGTGTGTGTGTGTGTGTGTGTGTGTGTTAGAGGAATGGATAGCTACTCCATCTTTGCAAGGCGAACAAAGGAAGTGATAGCTAGCCCCTGGGAGACTCTACAGCTGCCCCAGGGCAGAGCTTTACCTGCTACCATAGCTCCTGTTTAGGGATCTGCCACAATTTTGCTGTGTGCCAAGATCTGTTTGCACTTGTTTATTGTTATGCATGGAATATCCTGTGCAATTGCAATGCAGGACCTCACTCCCCACAGCCAAGAAGATGCCTCTCGTGCCCTTAGTGCACTTTATTTTTAATGGTTTATTCCTACTGCAGCATCACACCTTTTCCATGCACCTGAGCCTCACTTCACACAAATGTGCCCCACCCCTACTAGCTCTTCAGCTGGTCCCAGAGAAGAAACACTTCCAGGAGGAAGAGTTGAGCTGGGTAGGGATCCTTTTGCCTGTAGAGGTTTGGGGTTTCAATGGGTCTTCCTTTACCACTACCTGATGTTCACTTTCTATTCTTGAGGAAACATTGTATGCTTTTGCAGTGGAAAGTATCTTTTCAGTGGCAGCCCGTCTTTGAAAACAGCTGTAGAAGGTATCATCAGGAAATGATGGGAACAAAGCTTAGTTTTTATGCTTATTTCCCTGACTGAGGAGATAGCGCTACTGCTCTAATGTTATTACATGTTGCAGGTATGCTGCGTGTGCATGATACTTATTCACAGCCAGTGTGCACTTGCCAGTTCTCCTTTCTGGGATAGGAAATTTTGTTTCTCTCCTTTTCTAAAGACTGCAATGGTTCTTTCTAAGGACTCAGCCCAGTGTCATGGAATTGAAGGCCACGCCCATTCTGCTAGGTATCATTTAAGCCACCTTTAAGGACAGATAAAGAAATTTAGCTTTGATAACTTATCTTGTATACCCTGAGAAATGTAACTGCGCCCTAATCTCAAGGCTAGGTTTGCAGCGGATTCCCTTTTGTTTCTGTGTGGATGATCTTCGCTGGGGTACACCCTTCATCTTCAGTGAGGCTCCTGTTCTTTCCGTGTGTATGGGGCGTGGTGCTGCAGAACATGCAGTGCCTGGAAGCTGGTGCTGTGCCTCCAGCAGTTGGAACAGGAGTGCAAAGTGGCTGTGAATTTCTTCAAGCCAGGCTGCCTTGTGTTCATTGTTAAAACCAGGGAGATGATAAGGAGAGGGGTATGGCAGGAGGGGTTGGTCTTTGGGGATAAGGAATCCATTTCTAGATTTTTCTCATGCTTTGTATTTCCATGAGCAAGGATTCTGTCTTAGAATGAAATATTTTTATGTGTTTGCATGCCTATAATGATAATTATCTTCAAACTGCAGTATTCACATGTCCTTCTTAGATACAGGTAAAATGTAAAAATATAAACACCCATCTACATATACAGAAAATGTGATAAAATATCTAAATATAACATATATCCCCTATTGTCAATGTTGGTACTTTTTAACATAGTAATATTCTGTAATTTTAATTAAATTTCCTATGCTGTCTCTTTCTGTGAAGGCAGCCCCACCCAGTAGGTGAAGTGTCACTGTAATCTGAAAGCCAAAGGGGGCAGACTTTCTTGGTCCCGTCCCTTTTGCCTCCTTAGGCACCACCTTCTGACACCATTTTTGGGTCAGGGTAGGGTTTTTTGTTTTGTTTTGTTTTTCTCCTATTCTTGATGCCCTCTTGAGACTAAAGCATTCTACTCTCATGTGTTTACTGGTTTCCTAAAGGGTTCCCTGTTGCTTGTGGACAAGACTGGGCTTTTCCTGTGAGTAGCCCAGACCTCAGATCTTCATTGTTTCTTCTCAGGACATCAATGTGGACCATCTGTTCAACTCCAGCACTAGCCCCTAAGCCCTTACTTCTAAATGTCAGAGACTGATCATTCTGGATACATCCTTAGATCAGGGCGAGAGACCTTGTGTCTCTGCTTTCTGGTACAGTGCCTGGCACACAGATACCTAGTGATATCACTGAAAATGAATGATGAGTTAAGAATTATTCCTAACTCCAATAACTCATGCTTATTGAGTATTATTTTCTGTCAGGTACTGTATTATGTGCCATCCATGTGTTGTCTCATTTAATCCTTGAATGAATCCAGTCTGAAAGGTACTACTTTATAGATTAAAAAAAAAACTTAGAAAATCTCTCTTACCTTATATATTAAGTAAATACTGTGAAGACAGTATTCGGAATGGTAGCCCCATATCAATTGTGCAGGTAGAAAGTTTTGATAACTGCAGTCATTGTTGTCCTCTGATATAAATTACAACTTGAAGCTGACCACAAGAGGGGGACCTCTTAGGTTCCAGGGCTTTGTATGTATTTTCTTTATTGGAGTCTCTGCATAAAGTCACTTCAAAATTCAGGAAAATTAAAACATAGGTAGGCAAAGTCAGTTATCCAGAGCCACATAAGAAGAGCTTTGAGAAAAAGCTGGAGATCCGACCCAGGTTTGTCCAGCACCAAAGCCAAGGCTGCCCTTCGTACAGCTGCTGCCTTCCAGAGTCTGTGCAACTGAGATTTTTTTGGAAGGTGTGGCTAATGAGCTCCAGAATTCCCTCTAAGAGACAAATTACAGAGAACTGGCTTCATAATACAATTCTGCTGCAATAGATGTTGGGTTCTGTGGGGAATATTTGGAAATTTCTGGAAGACATCCTTAGGTAGGAATGTCACCTGGAAAGTTCAATCTAGGGCATATAGTCTAAGCTCTGAGATTTCATTGAAAAGGATATGATTGGGAATTTTGTGGGAGCCATGAGGATTTATTTATTATGTTTTTGAGAAGTAAAGGAATCTTAGGAACTGGGGAGAAACATGTAGCTCTTGGCAACACCTGATGTGGGTGCTAGGACTAGACTGGAACCTGGAGAGGGAACCCCACCCCTGCATCTGTACATTTATCTTCAGTCTTCTAAGAACGGGAAGACAAGTTAGGAGATGGAGGATTGGGGTTTGGGTGACCAAAAAAAGGAGTTGCCCCAAACCAGCCTATCTATGGAAGGCATCTTGAAAGGGAGATTCCAGAGGAAAAGACAGAAGAAAAATATCAAACATTTAGGAATGGAAGGTGTCATAGGTATCTGATCATGGAAATCTCAGCCTGGATGTTCTCTGTTTCTTTATAGTTTGAATAGGTGCACCATGATTCTCAGTCAGGTTATTCTTCTTTCTCAAATACTAGCAAAATGCCTTAGGGGTATAAAGACCTCTGAATATTTGTCACTGTGAGTAAATTGAATACTTGGGAGATTTCCAGAGAGCTAGATTTACATGGAGAATTCACATCTACATGGCAGAACCATCCATTTATGAAAATCCTCCCTTGTTATCCCAGTGAGCTGTTGAGAGGCTCAAACGAGGTCATGACAATGAAAGCAGTCTGGGAACACAGATGTGTTTATGATAGTAAACACTGATTTGTTTATAAAATCTCAACTATTTTGGAATGTGGAATTTAATAAAGGAAGACTTCGCAAGGTCTAGTTAAGAAAGAGATCACTTGGGAAACTTCTTTTAACAAAAGTTTTTAAAAAACAAAAATGAACACTGTTATATAAATATCTTCTTTTTTTTTTTTTGCTTTAGTTTTGTTACACTGTTCTGCAGAATTATGCGTGGCATTTACTTCTGACAAGAGGCTATTAGACCACCTTTGGACTTTGATTCAGAGACTGTCCCTTAAACTAAATATGGACATCTTCTTAACTTAGATGAATTGTCGTCGTTTCTATCTTGATCAGCTCTGTAACCTAGAGTGACAGTTATAGACACCCTTCCAGCAGTTTCCTCACAACTCGATTTTCAGTTGCTTTTTCTCTACCCTTTTTCCCCAACTGGAAAAAATTAAATTGAGTTTTGAAAAAAGCAAAACCCCTTTATATCCTAAAGGATCCTTTGTTCTTTACCTATTGGCAC